CCTCTGAATAGTGGTTGACCCAACGGATCACGGTGGTCTAGTAATGTATTAAAACTGGTCCTTTTAAAGGGAAAACAAGATTAATAACTTTATGTTATTATTCCCTCCATTTGCTTTAGAAATTATTTTTCATGGTTCCTTATATGTCTCCGTGGCATTTTCCCATTATAATCAAAATATATTCTGTTTTATATTTAATAGCCTAATTCTTTAAGAACTGTACTTTACTTTGATAGTTGAAAATAATTGAAAAGTAATAATTCAAAATATAGAACAAAACGCTCTAGGTAGAAATATTGCTACAAACACTATAATTGTATTCCAGCTTAATTCGCAAGTTAATGATAACATATCGATATTAGAAAATATTTCACTGGAAAGTGACTGTTTGGATACTTTAGCTCAAAATAACTTTATATATGTGCATGTTAGTTTTTTTGTCAAGTTCTCTCCTACTGACTAGAGTAGTTTTGAAACATCCAAATTAATTTATTAATGTAAAACTATATCGCTATATAGACGTGAAAAGAAGGATTGAATGCAACAATTTAAGTATCACTATAGCAAAACTATTTTCGGGATTTCTTTACTTTGTTTTACCGCATAGCTACAAAGTTGATTACCTACTCTCTGTCCATTGTGGGGAATCGAACTCTAGACTTCAGCGTAATAACTCCGTAAATTTAGTTGTGGAACCGAAGTTGTTTCTTGATTTACTTGGAGTTAATAGTTAGTCTAACGTTATTAACCTATTTTTCGGAATATAAGACGCACGGTGTATAAGACGCAACCTTATTTTGAAGACAAAGTTTTTTTGGGAAAAAAAAAGCCACAGTCGCATTTGAAAGATTTTTATTGAGCAAAAATTGAATTTGATACTTTAAAAATTGGTATATATTGTTCTAAACACAAAAGAGCTCAACACATCAAAATAAGAAAATACCGTAAATCAAAAAATGGTTTACTGTTATTTAGTTTGGTTCAAAACCTACAAAATCTTCACTGCTTTCACTGTCGCTTGGAAAGGAATCATTGGATCCAATATTATGATCAAAGAGAATGTCATCCTCGGTCCCATCCATTGCATTACTGATACCACATTTCTTAAATGACTTAATCACTATATCACTTCTTACTTTTTCCCACAAATTCTTCACCCACATGCAGACCTAGTCCTTTGCGTTTCATGAACCGATAACACCACGATGTATGACCAGTAAAATATTCTAAACTATTATCACATGCAATCCTCTTTGCTTTAAAAATGATCATATTTGTAAATCTCTGATTCACAACCCATTCGTACAGTTTATTTTCGAGATCTTGACATTTTGTTTTTTTTTCCTCGGAAATTGCGTTTATCGCTTTTAATCATTTTCAATTCTTCTTCTTGTTCGCGCCAGCAACGAATCATTTTTTTCTGTTGGTGGAGGACCAAAATATATTTCGGCAGCTCTGTTTCCATGCTCTTGTGCATAATTAATCACACTTAATTTCAATTTAGCTGTGTATGACAGTCTCTTATGTTCAGACATCGTAAGGGGTGAAAAAATAGAACGAAAAATGAAGAAACAACTATTTTGCTTCCGAGGCCTAAGATTCGGTACTTCGGCTTTCGGTGATACATCCAACTTGACAGTAAGCACGTGCCAAACTGCCGAGTATCAAATGAAAATTGAAATACCGATTAGGCGATTACCGACGCTAATTGCATTAAGCGCTCTGATTGGTCAAGCGCATTGCATTTGAATCCAAGGCAAGCACTCAAAAACGATTTTTTATTTGTTAAAGTTAGGCCTGAAACGGCCTTATTCTGCTTCACATTAAATAGGGATCGTCGTGTATTTACAAGCTTTTTCACTCTCATCCATTACTATAATTTTTATTATTTAGGGAGTATTATAAACAGTTATGTTTTTTTTTAAAACAACTATTGTTATAAAAAACACATTCACTTGAACTAAACTATGCATGCCTATTTAAATATATTTACACATGGCTTGTGTATATCGTATATATATACATATATATTATTCATACTTTCGGTGTATAGGACGCAAGCAGATTTTGACATCAAATTTTGGGGTAAAAAAGTGTGTCTTATACACCGAAAAATACGGTAATTTTTATATTATTAAATATTTAGTTAGAACCTTTCAAAATTATATTGACAAAACACAACTTAAAATATCAAATGCGGCGAAACTT